GTTTTCAATAGAACTTTTACCCTCTATTAGGGTTGGGGTGGATGCACCAGAGTAGGGTTAGGGTTGCAAAAACGAGGTCTCCTGGCATGGATCTTATGGTTGGAATGTCTTCAGAATTGGCAGAAATGATGAGCTTTGCAGAAAATGCTACCCAAGGAAGTCCTTTTCAAAATCACCCTATTTTCAATGGAATGTTCATCTTCTATTGGGGTTGTGGAGGTGCACCAGGGTAGGATAAAAAACGAGGTGTCCTAGAATGACTCTGATGGTTGGAATGTGTTTAGACTGTGCAGCAATGATTAGCTGTGCAGAAAAAGCTCCCCAAGAAGGTTTTTTCAAAATGGCCCACTTTTCAATGGAACTTTCACTGTCTATAAGGGTTGGGGGTGAGGGTGCACCAGGGTATGCTTAGGGTTGCAAAAACAAGGTGTCCTGGAATGATTCTATGGGTTGGAATGTGTTTAGACTGGGCAGAAATGATAAGCTCTGCAGAAAATCCTATTCAAGTAAGGTTTTTTTCAAAATGGCCCTCTTTTCAATAGAACTTTCACCTAAGAGAGGGGGGTGTACCAGGGTAGGGTTTGGATTACAAAAACAAGGTGTACTAGCATGAATCTGCTCATTGCAATGTGTTCAGGACGGGTAAAATGATGAACTGTGCAGAAAAAGGTACCCAAGGAATATTTTTCAAAATCGCTCTCTTTTCAATGGAACTCTCACTCTCTATTAGGGTTGGGGGGGAGCACCAGGGGAGGGATAAGGATGCAAAAACATGGCGTCCCGGCAAGAATATGATGGTTGGAATGTGTTCCAAATGGGCAGCAATGTTGAGATGTGCAGGAAAAGGTCCCCAAGAAGGTTTTATCAAAATGGCCCTCTTTTCAATAGGAATTACACCGTCTCTTAGGTTTGAGGAGTGCACCATTGTAGGGTTGGAGTTGCAAAAACGAGGTGTCCTGGCATGAATGTGATGCTTAGAATGTGTTCAGAATGGGCAAAAATTTTGAGATGTACAGAAAGACTACTCAAGAAAGTGTTTTTCATAATTGCCGACTCTTTAATAGAACTTTCATCCTCTATTAGGGTTGGGGTAGGTGCACCAGGGTAGGGTTAGGGTTGCAAAAACGAGGTCTCCTTGCATGAATCTTATGGTTGGAATGTCTTCAGAATGGGCAGAAATGATGAGCTTTGCAGAAAATGCTACCCAATGAAGTCCTTTTCAAAATCACCCTATTGTGAATGCAATTTTGGTGATGGAAAATGGTGATTTTTATGTGAATGGAATTATGGTTGGAATGTTTTCAGAATGGACAGAAATTTTGAGCTGTGCAGAGAAAGCTTCCCAGGGATGTTTTTTTTTCCCAAAATTGCCCACTTTTCAATGGAACTTTCACCCTCTATTAGGGTTATGGAGGTACACTAGGGCAGGGTAAGGTTCGCAAAAATGAGGTGTCCTGGAATGATTCTGATGGTCGGAATGTGTTTTGACTTGTCAGAAATGATGAGCTGTGCAGAAAATCTTATTCAAGGAAGGCTTTTTCAAAATCCCCCCCTTTTCAATGGAACTTTCACCCATAAGTAGGGTTGGGGGTTGCACCCGGGTAGGGTTAGGGTTGCAAAAACAAGGTCTCTTGTCATGAATCTTATGGTTGGGATGTGTTTAGAATGGGCAGAAATGATGAGCTGTGCATAATAAGCTCCCTATGAAAGTGTTTTCCAAAATCGCCCACTTTTCAATGAAACTTTCACCCTCTATTAGGCTTGGGGGGTGTACCAGGGTAGGGTTAGGGTTGTAAAAACGAGTTCTCCTTGCATGTATCTTTTGGTTGGACTGTGTTTAGAATGGGCGGAATTGATGAGCTGTGCCGACAAAGCTATCCAAGGAAGTCTTTTTCAAAATCGCTCTCTTCCAGTTGAACTTTTAACCCTGTATTAGGGTCAGGGCTTTGCACCAGGGTAGGGTTAGACTTTCAAAAACAAAATGTCTTGTCATGATTTTGATTGTTGGAATATGTCTTGAATGGGCAGATATGAGGATTTGTGCAGAAAAACCTACTCATGGAAGGCTTTTTCAAAATCACTCTTTTTTAAATAGTGTTCTAATGCTGCATCAGGGTTTGGCAGTGCACCAGGGTAGGTTTAGGGCAGTGGTGGCAAACCTGTAGTACATGTTCCACAGCTGGCATGCATTGTCCTCAGTGTCAGCATGTCAGTCAAGTCGCTCCTGCATCATCCCAGCGGCCGAGCATCTGATAACAACACACACATGGGCCATCTGCATGCTCTGAAACGTGTATCCCCTCCGGGTAATGAATCACAAGCCACAACTCGCTAGCCGTGACTTGAACCAGCTTTCGCGTGGCCAGTCAGTGTCCTGGCTTGATAGATAGATAGATAGATAGATAGATAGATAGATAGATAGATAGATATTTGCTTGGACTGCCTGTGAATCATTTTTTCTAAACTAAAACATCCGTTTTCAGCTTTTATTGTGGTGTTAGTAATTTGCAATAAACAAGTGGGTTTTGTCTTGCATTTTGGGCAGTCGGTCTCTAAAAGGTTCGTCATCACCGGACTATCATGTCACAGTGCCCTTTGTTGTTTTTGTTGCCACTGACCTAAAACAGCTACTGCTCTGCCCTTGCTCTGAAAATTACTAGAACGAACTATGTATTGTCCCATTTGATCATGTTCAGGCTGCTCACTTTTTCCTCTTTTCTATCTATTTATTAATACTAAACCCCAATATGCTAAAATAATAAACAAAGCCATGCTTTTTACTGCTAGGGTAATTTTTTTTTTTTTTTTTTTTTGAGGTTGGGAACTCGTAGATAGGGGAGTGACCCACTTCTAAGTGCTAGTACATTGGATTCCAGCCAAACTGTTCAAATGCTTCATCAGTAATATAAATAATTATTCTCTAAGCTCTAACAGAGCCTAGATTTAGCAGTGTCAGTTAATTATGTTTATTGTTAAAAATCTGTGACTCAGGAAACTTTAACCCCTTTCAGAGGAATTAAAATATTTAAATAGTTTGATCTCATATGCTTCCACTGTCAGTTTTAAATTTTAGTAATGACCATCACCATGCCCTGATGGTGCTGCTGTTCTTGGCTTTATAGTAATGGACCTTTAAAAAAAAATCTGTCACTTTCTAATCAATGATTATCGCATGTGTGTGCATGCACAGTATTAAGTCACAGTAACTGGAATGGAAGGCCAGTAGGTACAAGGACAGAAGCCGCAACTATCCACCAACAGGAATTCATCCAGTCGGAATGGGTCAGAGCATGGGGCCATGCTCCCTTTTGGCATTCTCAACTGTTGCCAGTTATAACCGTAGTGCAAGCATATAGTACCCATTTCCACAGTGTCTAATATAAGTTTTTCTTCCTATGACTATTTTTTACTTCAGACTTTAATATATAGATGGGTGCACTTCACATGAAATGACCACTGTGTTGATACCAGTTGAAATTGTGTAAGAGACAAAATGCTAGTGAGAATGCTATCACTTAGAAGCAAGTAGTGAGGCTGGAGTTGAATCACTGCATGTGAGCAACCTACTACATGGAGCAACTGCTGCGTAGATAGCATTCAGATTTCAGGATACTTTCATACTGATGACTTTGGCTTTCAAATTGGTCTGGTTTTATATTTGTTTCCGCTTTCACGAGAAAGGGTGGCTCGAATATTGCCAAATTGTTAGAGTATGACCGCAAATGGATACAACGGGCGTAGTTGACACAGCCATGCTAAGCTGAGTAAGAAGCACACATGGTGTCACCACAGTAGGAAAAGCCAATCTTGCAGTAGTCACAGAAGGCAATTATGAGGACCCTTGTGGCTCAGTGTGTGCGTTTGTGGGAAGCATTAAATTATATGTAGAAGAATGATTGAATACAGTGTGTGAGTAAGCAGCTTAGAACAAAGAGCATTTCTATTTTGGAAGTTTTAGGAAGCACCAGTACAAAATCTGTTGGCATTGTATGCTGTCTCTGACAGAAGAAAGGCAAGTTAATTTTCTTCATCAACTGTGTAATAATCTTGTGATATAAGATTTTTTTTCTTTCCACAGCAGCAAAACTCAATTGCTGCTATTAAAAGTTTGCCACACTTTCTTTACAGTAATAGCCTGTTGTTTGTTTGATCCATTTTATTTTCCTAAATACATGTACAATCAACAATATTCACATCCATTTTATATGAATTACTACAGTTGTTCCCACTGGCAGTTTTCACCTTGTATGTGTTAACTGATTGGATGTACCCGATAGATTGAAAGCACCACTGCTCTGAGATTTGGAAAGCATTCTCATTTCTTTTTGGGAACATATTTGTTACCAACTTCATGAGCAAGGATTTTAAAATTTCACTTTTCTTCATTGTGCAGTAGAGGCATTTGTGATGAATGCATTCCAAGCATATGGCTACTATTTACACCTCTCAAAGTCCCTGCCTGCTCCCTTGATATATACTGTCATCAACTTCCAGTCATTTCAATGAAAAACAGTCTTGGATCTTACGCCCTCTAACAAGATTGTGAAAGCTTTTTATTTTTATGATACTGGTGTGTGCTATTGCAGCTTCTTTTTATTTCAAGGAGTCTAATTGCTAATGAAGATACAGGGAAATAATACAAAACTGCATGCATATATAAAATTTTAAAATATTACATTTTATGTTCTAAAGTTATATATAAATAGGCATTATTGCATTATTTAATGAATCAATGGTTCCATTTTGGCTACATAAGGATCCATACTTGCCTCTGCAGAAATAGGAGGAATGATATGGTTCCCCACCATGTTGCCCCTTAAGTCATAAAGCAACTTTTTAAACTGTCATATTTTAAACCAAATAAACGTGATCTTTTGGAACACTTCTTGGGAATTTTTAATGCAAAAAGAGCAAATGTGCCTGAAACTTAGTTTCAAAATGTGTGGAAGTACTAGGAAACATGAAAGTTTCTCAGATTTTTTTTTCTTACCTCACTACAGACCTACCACCTCCACCAGTGCCACCTCCTGCTATAAAATCTCCCACTGCCCAATCCAAATCTCAACTGGAGGTACGGCCTGTCATGTTGCCAAAGTTGTCTTCTATAGAACCAAGAACAGAAAGAGCAGTAGAAAGAAAAGGAACAGGCTATAAGGGAAAAGAAGGCGCCAATGGCCGTCAGCATTCTGACATGCGGACAGGTTCAGGTGAGCGCCGAGAACCACAGGAACAGCAAAATGATAACAAACTGCGAGGAAACAAAGCAGGCAGGCGAGATGGCACACCAGCAAAAACACATCTTCTCCAAGGTGAGCTCCTATCTTACAATGCGTTAATTAAAGCTTTTCTTTAGTTATAAATAAAGTTGTCATAACATAGCTGTCAAACTATGTACTTTGCTAACACAAAAGCTTAGCAGGGCTGGCTCTCTACATATAACAGACATAAAAACTTGCTTTCTGAAATTTAATTATACCATTGCACAAAACAAACATGGAGAACTAAACTGCTTATCATGGAGGAAATATAAGAGAAAGACCTTAAGGAAACAAAATGAAATTTTCTTTGGAAATATAATTTTTACTGTATCTCCATATCATGCTGCATTGGTTTACTGTGACATGTGAAGACCCATTTTCTTTGCATCATGATCTTCATCTAAAAGTAAAGAAACTCAATACAGTTTCTTCTCAATCCTAAAAGTAAAATGTGTAGCAAAGGCAGCCAAGCCGACTCAAACCCTTCTAAAATGTGAAAAGCATCAAAACAAAACAAAAAATGATGGCCTGGCTTCTAGACATGCAGGCTACAAATAAAGCCAGAACATATCCTAAAAACCACAAATGGATATACCAGAATAAAATAATCTCTTTTTATGATGGCTAGTAAGAACTGATAGGAGAATGTGGATGAAAGTATCCATATAGGCCTGTGTAAAAGCTGTCATCAGAGAAGTAGGCCAACCTTTGATACTAGCTAACCTAGGCATAAAACAGCAGAATAGAAATTGGGTAGTAAATTGGTTAAATGGGCACAAAAGCAAGAGGTCATTGTAAATGACAGTAGGTCATGATAAAAAGAAGTCATTAGCAAGATACTCCAAGATTGGTGCTGCAGTTGTTGCTTTTCAATTTATATATTAATGGCATAAAGCAGGTGGTAAAACTTCCTGGTGAAATTGGAAACACTGTTAATGTATAAGTAATTTATCATCTTCAAAACATGTTAAAATATTAGGGGAAAGCTCTGGGTATTGATTTATGAGTCACAGAATTATAGGGCTGGAAACTTCATTAACAGGTAACCTTTTTCATCTTTTCCACTCCCTGCCTCCATGTCAATATGAAATCTCTACTTCATAAAATCAACTGTTACTAACATATATCTAAACTCCTTGGGAATCACTTCCTTTAAGAGAAAGTGACAGCCTTCTAGTTCTGAGGACTAGATTCATTTTAGCTTGATAGTAATATAAAATATATTACTTAAGCACATGCTTTGCATGCAGACAGGCCCTGTCTGAACACTGAAGAGAAGCTGCCAGTTGAATAGACAATACTGTTTAGTAGCCAATACTAACTAAGTGGGACCAGTGGTCTGACTTGATATAAGTCCCTGTTTCAAGGCAAGTGCATAAATATAGCTGATGGTGCATGTCTGCTCAGCACAATATATAGTTACATGTGCAAATTCCTAACTTCAATTAGGGTATTTCTTCACTCCATCTCACCATTTTATACCAACCATCTACTATTCACATTAGCTATGTAATACTTGAAAATCTAGGAACTTGTGGGTTTCAGCTAAAATAATTTCTATGATCTGTTTCAAATCTTTTAAAGGCAACTTGTGGCCTTCCAGATATTCTTCGCCATGGTCTCTGTGCATCACACATATGGGTTCTGTGCCTGCGCAGTGCCTTTGGCCAGAAGATTGATAGCTAATGGTTTGGCAGGAAACCTCCGCTCCCCTCCCCCCTCGCAGTATATCTGGAGCGCAGTGTCCGCCATTTTCCAGTCTTTGTGACCACCGTTCGTTGTGCCTCGTGCCGCTTCGCTCTCGCTTAGATCATTACTTGTATTCTCTTGCTTCGACTTCTTTTTCTCTTTTCCAAGTTAGTATTTCCTCATTTATATTGCTCTTCACTGTTCCAGTTAGTCTCTTCATTTTTTCTCTTTCTTCTTGTTCCTATAAAAAAACAAAACCAAAAATATTATCTGTTCCTGCTATACTATCCTCTCTTTTTCTATTTTCCCATGATGGCGCAACGAGCGGCGTTCCGCAAGTGTGGAGAGTGTGGCTCTAAGATGCCCGTTGCAGACCCACATGACCTGTACCTCCTCTGTTTAGGGGTAGGTTGCAGGATGGACAAATGCGGCCATTGCCTGGCCTTCTCTAAGCAGGCGAGGAAGAATAGGGAGAACTGCCTATGTAAGCTCCTGTGGGACCAGGCTCTCCTACAATCGGATCGGCTGGTGGCTAAGCCTGCTACAACCTCGATTGTACCTGACCACTGTCCGTCTTCAGCCGATCCGCCGCAACGTCCGGCTCCTTCCTCTGCTGCTCCACCCTCACACCCTTCAGGCAAAGGTGCTTCCATCATGGGTGATCTGCCTGTTTCCCCGCCCAAGAAACAGTGGAAAAAGAGGAAACACAGCAGCCCTGATAAGCCATCTGTGCATAAGAAAGCCGAAAGAGATAAGGCTGAAAAACTGGCCAAAAAACCAAAGAAACCCAAGCATACGAAACATCGACACTCGGGTTCGGTGGCTTCCTCGATCTCGACCGCAGGCACGGAACCGACACCCCTGGGCCCGACCATTCAGGCAGTGATGAGAGTTACTCCTCCAGTTTCTCCACGCCATACGGGATCTGAACTGCACCAGGATCCACCTCGTGGCTCAATTTCCGACGGCAAAATTCAAGACTCCCCACCGAGAGCCTGGTCCCCAACGCCTATGCCACCTGTTCGGCTCGATACCGAGACTGGAATGTCCCTGCCGAGAAGCCGTAGAAGTCGATCTTCCGATGCCCGATCTGACAACTGGTACCATTCCCGGTATTCTTCCGTGTCAAAATGGCCCGACTACTCATCTGTCAGATACTACCCGGCTGCTAGAGGTCGATCCCCTCCACCAACTCCTCAGGATCGTCCCCACTCTACAGCCTCGAGAGACGCCGGTCAGGCACCATCTAGGGAGAGCGGTAGATCAGAGTCACCAGGGGATTCTTCCTCCAGCATCCTGGCTCCATATTGGGTGGACTTGGATGAGTCCAAGGTCGATTTGACTTCACCTGATGCTGCAGTCACCTCGCAAGGCCCTGTATCACCAGAGGAGTCACACATCTCGTTTGCTGAACTGATGTCCAGGCTGGTGAAGTCACTGGAAAGCAAGGCCAGTCAACAGCCCGGTCCCAGCACTGATCATTTCTACGATGCAGTGCAGGGTGAGCAATCGACCTCCATTGCTTTACCACTCATCACAACTCTCCGACAAATGATGACCCAACCATGGGACCTCCCGGCTCACCCGCAACCGACTTTGAGAAGATATGAAGCTATGTACTGGGTTTGGGAGGGGGACACTCTGTTCCTTCTCCGCTGCCCCGAACTGAACTCGGTGGTGGTGGAGTCTTCTCAAGGCCAGGAGACACAGGGTCACACAGCGCCCTGTGACAAAGAGGGGAGGGAGTTTGATTCCCTTGCATGCCGGGTCTATGCAGCTTTGGGACTCAGCCTTAGAATATCTAATGATGAGGCGACTTTGGCACGTTATCAATACTTTATAATGCAGCGCCTGGACAACATCATCACTGCCCTTCTAGACAACCAAGGCGACCTGGCACGGGTATTCGTAAAGAAGGCCATGCAGGTTGTGGTGCAACAGCTATCCAGAGCTAGACATCATGTGGGCACGACTCGAGGGCTCTCGTTGGTGCCATCTCTCTCTAGAGACACACCTGGTTGCGTAATTGCAACTTTCCGGAAGAGATGAAGAGGAGGACTGATGCCCTTTGACCGGTCCGGCCTCTTCAATGCAAAGACCGACCACAAGTCGCAGAAGATCCACGAGTTGAGGACACATGGAGTTGCAACCTCAGCCTTGACGTAAGTGGTCATGGACCCATCCACAATATCGACAACAATATCCACCCCGACAACAGCCACAGCACCATCAGCAACCCCACAGGCAACAACCACCCCAGCGATTCCAGCGTTGCTGAGGGGAGAGGACAGGTTCACCTTACTGGACTTGAGGGATGCCTATTTTCATATTTCGATTCATCAACGTCATAGGCATTTTCCTCCAGTTTGCGGTTGCTTCTGAAATCTACGAATTCACGGTGCTCCCATTTGGACTGGCCACCGCCCCAAGGGTCTTCACGAAGTGTATGGCCCTGTCTGAGCATACTTCCGATTATGTGAAGTTCAGATATACCCTTACCTCGATGACTGGCTGTTGGTTTCCCAGACTAGACAAGGACTTTGCTCCTCTGTAAACATGGACCTTGGATTCTGCATTAACTGTGAGAAATCTTCTCTTGTTCCTACGCAGATGATCAACTTTATTGGAGCCCGTCTGGATTCTACAGTGGCAAAGGCCTTCCTCCCTCAAGACAGACAATGCACTATTGCTCGACACATCCATCGAATTCAATGAGACGGAACTGTTCCTGCCTGATCTGTTCAAAGACTTTTGGGGCACATGGCAGCATCCATCGCTGTAGTTCCATATGCCAAGCTTCGGCTTCTCCCCCTTCAACTGTTCTTCAACAGAATGTTCCGGCCACAGATAGATTTACCTACGAAGCTGATTCAACTCCTGGCTTCTGTTCTACAATCTCTACTATGGTGGACGGTATCAGACAACCTAAACATTGGAGTCCCGTTCCGACCTCGGTGCCCTACAGTGACTCTCAATACCAATGTGTCTCTTCTGGGATGGGGAGCTCTGTGCTCTGGCCTATGCACGCAGGGTGTTTGGAATCGACAGGAGTCCAGGAATCATATCAACTTCCTGGAACTTCTTGCAGTATTCAAAGCCCTACAATCATTCAAGGACATTCTTCACCATCGAGTTGTCCAGATAACCTCAGACAACATTGCTACAGTCTTTTACTTGAACAAGCAAGGGGGGACAAAGTCACCAACATTAGTCCAGCTATCAATGCAAATCAATGCAAGTGGTGCATACCAAGAAACATTACCTTGATAGCAGTACACCGAGCCGGTATGGACAATGTGGAAGCAGATCTCTAAAGCAGGCATATGTACACATCTCACGAATGGGAACTGGACCATCAGACATGCGACCGACTGTTCCAGTGATGGGGCCTCCCAGATATAGACTTATTTGCCACCCGAGAGAACAGGGTGTGCGAGACTTTTTGCTCAAGAGCAGGAATCGGACAGTGGTTGTCCGGAGATGCCTTTATGATCCCTTGGAACGATATGATCTTTTATGCTTTCCCCCCCGATTTTCCTCATCATGAGGGTAATAGCAAAAATAAATCACGACGGGGCCACAGGACTGCTGATAACTCCTTGGTGGCCATGCCAGCCATGGTTCTCAACATTTCTTCACATTTCTCGAGAGGAATACCTACAGCTTTCTCCCATTCCTTATCTCATAACTCAGCAGGAGGGCACAATTCGCCACCCGGATCTAGCATCGCTGAAATTGACATCCTGGTGAATTCGATAGCAGTCAACGTCGGCTCGGTACCAACGTCATGTGCAGTTTCTAGCGATCCTGTCCCTGGATCCGACACGCTATTCCATGTTTCGAATCCATCTACCTCCTCTGCGTCCTCGGATCCAACGAATATTCTGTTGGGTTCGTGAGTTTTTCATCCAGATAGCCAACGTATTCTTGATTCTGCGCTAAGGCCATCCACTCGAAATTCGTATGCGGCAAAGTGGCGTAGATTCTCTATCTTTGCTGAATCTCATTTGTTTTTGCCAAACTCTGCATCCATAGATCGTATGCTCCAGTTTCTCTTAGAACTCCACCGTTCTGGACTTAAACCATCCTCATAAGAGTGTATACAGCAGCAATTTCCTATTATCGCAGTACAGTTCAAGGTTCTTCCATTTTTTCTCAACCATTGATAAAGAGATTTCTTAAAGGCCTCTACAACCTCCATCCGACAGTCAGGCTGTTTATGCCTACTTGGAGTCTTTCAGTGGTGTTACAAACGCTAACAAGACCTCCTTTTGAACCCTTGGCAACAATTGATGTATGTCTTGTTTCTTGGAAAACTGCTTTCCTTGTAGCAGTTACTTCATCCCGGAGATCTAGTGAACTCTGTGCCCTCAGGGTAGACCCTCCATTTTTGAACTTTCATAGAGAGAAAGTAGTTCTACAAATGGATCTGTCTTTTCTTCCAAAAGTGGCTGCGTCTTTTCACATGGGACAGGAGATTGTCTTACCTGCTTTTTTTCCATCTCCTTCAAATCCGCTTGAGAGATTCTTACACACTCTCAATGTACGGTGTTGCCTAGCCTTCTATAGATCGAGGACTGAGTCTATTCGACATTCCAATAAGCTCTTTGTTAAGTACTCTAAACAAAATCAAGGTATTCCAGTTACTCCTCAGAGACTGTCCAAATGGATAGTTCACACTATTACTCTGTCCTATCAGCTGGCCAAGATAGACTTACCTACAATTCCTAGGGGTCATTCTACTAGAGCTGTAGCTGCTTCTTCGCCTTTTGCATCGGGAATTCCGATTGAAGATGTCTGCAAAGCTGCCACCTGGGCTACTCCAGGTACATTCGCTAAGCATTATAGACTGGATGTTCGTGCTAGACAGGACTGTTCTTTTGGCAGAGCCGTTCTTTCAACTATTCTTCGTTGATGACACCTCCCTCCTCCATTTAGGGTAAGCTTGCTATTCTACCCATATGTGTGATGCACAGAGGCCACGACGAAGAAAAGCAGGTTGCTTACCTGTAACTGATGTTCTTCGAGTGGCCATTTGTGCAGTCACACAACCCACCCGCAGGCCCCGCTTGGTGTCATTGGGTGGCTTTGATTTTTTTTCCAGTACTGTGCTATTTTTTGTCCTTGGTACCTTCGCAATATTTTTTCTTCTTACTGAAGAAGAAAATACTGAAAGAAGAAGAAATACTGAAAACAAAATTTCTTTTAGTTTAGTTATATTTTACTCTTGAGAGGGCAAACGTCCGGTCTGTCAAAGACTGGAAAATGGCGGACACTCCACTCCATATATACTGTGAGGGGGGAGGGGAGTGGAGTTTTCCTGCCAAACCGTTAGCTATCAATCTTCCGGCCAAAGGCACTGCACAGGCGCAGAACCCATATGTGTGACTGCACAGATGGCCACTCGAAGAACATCAGTTACAGGTAAACAACCTGCTTTTTTGCCTTACAACTCCCATCAGCACTTGCTAGCACAGCCTGTGGTGAAAGATAATGGAATTCTAAGCCAAAACATCTAGAGGGCCACACACTGTCCACTCATGTTTTAAGTGTTCCTTAGTACTGGAAGTTGGTGTGGATGATATCCTTGCATTCCTGGCTCATGGATCATAATGTTTACACATAATGATTATTGAAAGGAAAAAGACAACCCTAACAGAAGGTGATGGGAATTAACCTTAGCTTTCAGTGAAATCAATGAGACTTAAAGTATTTGATTTAACTTAGGCTTGCATGTAATTTCTTCATCCACTCATTTGTATTTTCCATTGACTCACTTCATGGCATGGTGCCATTTGCTTGAAAATAATTATCACAGTTATAGGTACGTGAGTCCCATACACACCCATTCAGTGAGCTATAGAGAACACATTCATACACTTGGGCCATACTTTTTCTTGCTGCCTCACATTTGGGGCTAGTATCAAAGAATATGAATGTACACTAGGAAGATGTGCTGCTAAGAAAGAAGAGTGAGTTGTTCCTCAACATGTATAGTTTTTATCTTTGATTTCCACTGCTCCAATATTGTGACTAATACTGAAAACTACTGCAGAACTAGAATACACAGTGCACTGAAGCAAGCATTTGTCTCTGGCAGTATTAACACATTTCTAATTTTCTCCATAGAGGATATTCTGCCATATTGTAGACCTACATTTCCAACATCAAATAACACTAGAGATCCCAGTTCCTCAAGTTCCATGTCATCCAGAGGATCAGGCAGTAGGCAAAGGGCAGAGCAAGCAAATCTTGGTAGAAGGAATATTGCAGAAATGCAGGTATTTGGAACATATGAACAAGGAGAGGATGAAGAAGAAGAATTGCAGGTAATGTGTAATCATTAAAGGAGTTGAAATCTGTTGAAAAAATATGAATGTTTATCTCTCAAAACTAATTTTCTTTTTTAATTGGTTAGTTTACCAAGACTTTATATTTTTGGTCTCATCAGATAAACATAATTCCAGTTCTACTACTGTTTCATATTTATTTAATCTCAAAACTTAATCTGAGTTGATTTACCCTGAAATTTCTTTACAAACTTTTGCATGTATATCTATATATATTCATTTCTATATTAAAGTGTGAAAGGTAACATATAAGACAAACTTAATGCTGAAAACTACTTATGCATATCACTGATTAAATAGGAGGATAATGTACATAATATCTTATAAAACAAGCAATCAAATAAATATCTGGAATTAAAATAATATTTGGAATTATGACTATATTATACTGTCCCCATCATTTTGAAAAATGTAATTGCTTTATTTCCTGATTATATTTCCTGATCATTTTAATAAAAAGATACAGACATTTTTATAAATGTCAGATATTAGGCACTGTGTAACTACCACTTAAATCATATCCTTCTGCAGTGTGATTAAAATTATTTTCTATGCTCATTCTCAAGAATAATATAGAAATGTATTTTGAGTGAGAAAGCAAGGAATACTCAGCCAGTTTTATTATTGTTGTTTTACAGGAAACTGAAAGCTGAAGAAAATATGTACTGTAACACATTTTGAAATCTAATCAGAAAGATATCACTTAAGATGCCTCAAGTCTGATGATATTTGATGCCAGAAATAATGTTCAGTGCAATCAAAGTATACATTTTTTTCTTTTTTTCATACTATCAGAATGATAATCTTTATTTTGATATTCTTTTTTAAACCCTAATAATAATGAGCATCCCCTGTTTATTCCCTTAGGCTAAATATGCCACATTTTTTCTGTCCATGAGAGCAATTAAACTGAGGTGCTATACTAGCTGCTGCTTCCATCTTTGGGCAGAAGGAGGATCCCTGGTTTGCTCCCTTTGGAGCCAGTGCAGTTCAACAAGATATGTCACCAAACCAGTCCATAATCTTATGTATAGACTATCACTGATTGGACAGTAGGAAGTTACAAAGAATGGTGACTATGCAGGAGGTTTTTGATTTTTTGTTTTTAAATTTTGCAATTCTGTTATTAGTAAATGGTGCAAATTGCATTGTATTTTCTTCCAGATCCGTTTGCAGCAAACAAACAAAGAAAAAATCTTCATATGATTTGGGTTAAGGTGACTCATACTGTAAATACATATTTGTTTTTCAACCTCCCATAGTACTTTTAATTTGTTTAGATTCTAATCCATTTCATCATCAAGGCACATTCTTTACTGCAAATGTTCTTTAGGATAGGAAGAAGGCATGTGAATGAAAACTTGGCAGTTATGTCACGAGTTAAGTTTATCAGATACACAATCAGTGCTACTGCAAATGCAACACATAGAAAGCAATGGACATTTTTAAGCATCATTGGAAAGGACATTATCTTCGTCATCATCATGACTGGCCCAAATCTCAGACCTCTGCTTTATACTGTCAATTCACCTTAAAGAAGTGCCACTTAAAGAAGTTATGTTTTGATCTTGGGATTCTTGGGGTGGGGGGAGGGATGTTTTTGATTATTTTTTTGTAATGCACTGTTAATCTTTTTTTTTTTTTTTTGGTTTTAAAAGCACAATCACTAAACTTTATTTGTAAAACATTGTAACTATTAACCATTTTTGTCTTACTGTAAGATGCTACGCTTTTGTTTGTTTTTTCATATTTTATTAATTCTCTTTGTTTGTATTGGGAATATTTGAATGGTGACAGATGGTAAAGGTAGCAACCTATATATGGGCCATAAACAGAACACGTTTCCTGTTTCCCGGACTTTAAAATTCAAGTTTCTTGTGGCCTATCTCAACATTGGATTTCCATCAAAACTGAAATAGAGCCATTAGTTCTTTTTGAAATTACAGAATGATGTCTTCTGTCTGTAGATTCTTATGATCTCTTTTGTAATTCTATCATTTCTTTGTCATCGGTGCTAATGGAAAATTGTGTGTTTGTTTATGGACAATTATCAGGCCTATCCTCAGCGGGTGGGGGGAAGGAGTGTTTTGGTACTTACTGAGGGCTAAAAAATTCATTTAGTTAATTTTTAAGGAATGGATACAATAGAAAGGGTGTGCAGTACTGAGGGAACAACTCATGTGATTAATGTTTTTCATTATGTTCATGTAAGGAACCTCATATTTTAGCCATAATTTTGCATACCAAGGATTCAATAATCATAAAAGTAACTTTTGTCACATTATTTATTAAAAACGTTCTCAAATACATCATCCTTTCTTGTCAAGTTTTTTGTTTTACCTACTGCCACTGTCAGGAACTTTATCATTCTAGTAATACAAATAACTGATTTGATTATAGTGTGAATCAAACAGGAAACAACAACAAAAGGATTGATCTTAGCATGATGAATATTAAGGAAGCAAGGGGTCATAGGATCATCAAAGCTGCAACTGTCAAGTACCAATCCTATTCTAAGGCTCTGGCTCCACAGTGAATTATTATGTTCTCTGTTTTAGAGACACTTTGTTCCACTTGTGGGATTAGATATTTCTAGGCCGCCAGTGTCACTGCTAAAGGACAGGTTTTAAGCTCACTGCAACAGTGATTTCAAGTGCAGCACTATACTTTTGCCCCAGGAGAAAAATGATTGATAACAATCATTCACTCACATGGAAAAAAATGAGGACAGGGGTGAAGACTTATCAATTTCTGTGTGCATGCCACAGAACTGGTGTAGACTTCTCATACTGTCAATCAGCTGTGCAGATGGTAAGCCATGCAACAGCTGAGGTGGTAAGAACCAAGGATATCAGGCATAAAGAGGGAGAAGAGAAGATGCCTCAGATCTGCTCCAGAGGCTCCCACCTAGCAGGCATGTTCCTCCACATTGTTAAGCATAAGCACAGGGGAGAACTATGGGCTTTGGTCTCTGAAGGAGACCACAAAGAAACAATTTTCATTTTAGCTTTTCTGTACCTAGGCTAAGTAAATATACTATTCAAGAAGGTTGGTACTTGTTTGGGGGCTTAGATGGGAGTCAAACAGAAGAGGAAACATACAACTGGTCTTCTCAGGATATGCATTTCTATGGTGCTGGCTGAAGACAGCTGGTGCAAGATACCAGATCATTCTGACTGGGCCCTTTCTCTCTGGCAAGCAAGAGATCTTGGGTGATGCAGCATCAAATATTTCCCTTCCCTTAGGCTAGAGATAGGCAAGAAGCAATCATCCCTCTCTCAGTGGAAAAGCTTTAAACCGCATTGAAGTAAATTCTTGGGGACAGGTTGACTCTCACAGATCATGAAGACTACCAGAGAGAGCTTACAGCAAGGTCTTCAGTGTCGTGCTACAGTTCACTCGCTCACTTTCTCCCCCATCTCCCCAGACAGCCTTATTAAGCTTATCTTCCTAGAGTTGGGCAATATGAAAATGAACAATAGAAAGTTATAAGTCAGTTGACAGTGTGATCAGAGCAAATGAACAGAGAGCAACAAACAGGCATTTCCAGGTGAAGCTGTAGAAGACAAAGGCCAGAGGCAAAGGGTTGAGGGAAATGGACTAGCCCAGCAACAGTCCCTTCCAAGAGGCCATGTGCTCCTGAGAGCTACAACTGAAAGGGGGTGTGCCCTGAGCTCTGCAATGGAAAGAGAGGTGCCAGCAACTGTATGGTTGAGGAGATTTGTTCTGGTTCCTGATTCCTAGCTGAGTAGATCAGAGAAAGCTTCCCTCACTGATCTAGGTACTCTGGGATACAAGCAGCCCAGTTCCCAGAGAGAGCAAGCAGAGTAAGTAACAGGGAGAGCAAACAGGAGAAACAGGGAGTAACGGAGAGCAAACAGGAGTTTAGCAGTGGAGAAGATCATGATCAAGATCTTTAGCATTTTCTTTTATTCCCCCTGCCTTAGTTCTCCCTTTGTTTTCTTTCTTGTAACACAGTCTCATTTACTGGTAGGACTGTGCTGTCAACCTTTAATGACAGGAGAAAGCACTGGTTGTTAGAACAGGTACAGCAATGTAGAATAATAAAGAGGAGAAAAGAATAGACTGAGAAAACTCCAGTTGTTGTGATCTGTAACATTCATACAATGTTTGTTTTCCTTTTTGAGGTCAATATGGCCTACACAAGTGCAAGCTAGTAGCCTGTTAGAAGAAAAGATGACATCACTGGAGCCATGAGTGTCCATCCTTACGATAATAAAAGACTATGAAGATTTTTTTAAAAGTCAGAACAGTGAAACTGCAACAGCTAAGTGTAGTACAGGAGCTAGAAGTGCAAGCTGAGACAAAAGAACATCCTGAGGGAAAAGAAAATGAAGAAACTCGTTGGGAAAGTATGACAGGTGCAGAAAAACTAGAAGTCACTCTGCATCAGTGGAAGCATTGGAACACTTTTCAGCTACTTGAGGATGAAACTGGAGGACAGCCTGCTATGTGGGAACTGCAAGTCATCTCATGCAACACTGAAAAAGAGGCTAAATGTCAACCAAGTAGTAGCAATGATACCAAGCCTTGCAATAACAAGAAAAGAAGAGAGTTAGTTGTGGGAGACTCCCTGTTGCGTGGGATGGGAACTTGCATTTCAGGAAGGCCTATGGATTTGTCAGGTATGCTGTCTCCCTGGAGGTCAGATTATTGATATACCTGAAAAATTGCCAAGGCTCATATAGCACAATGACACATTACTTCTTTCTTATTCATGTAGGAACAAGCAGAACTTTGAAGAAATCACATCAGACTTTGAAGCATTAGGGAGGAAAGTCAAGAACTTTGGAGCCCAGATAGTTTTCTCTTCAATCCTTCCAGTTTGTGAAGAAGAATAGACAGGGAAAGAAAAAATATCCAAGTGAATTCCTGGAAGGAAGGCCAGGATATAAAGAAAATAAGGCTGGTAGCATGTAATTGCAGGTAAGGCATCAGGAAGACTAAAACTAGAAATGAACTGGGGCTAGCAATGGATGCTAAAAGAAACAACACCAACAAAAAAGCCTTCTTCAGATATGTCCAAAGTAA